CCCGGCCCTTTCCCCCCTCTCCAAAATGAACCAGCACACCTCTCCCCCTCCTTTCCTCTAAGTTAATCGGCAACACTCACCCCTCTCCCACCCTCTCTCAAGCAATAGTGTAGTACTTAACCGGCAGCGCATGCTCCTCTCCCCACTTTCCACAAAATGAACCAACAACAAACCCTCTTTCTCCTTCTCCCCCTCCTCCAAAGTTAAACTTAGTCGAAAGCGTACCGACTGCCGGTACGAGGATGCGTTTTTTGCGCAGTTCCCCCCGCAGGTTTTTTTCGCCAGCGGCATTTTCTTCCTGACAGATGCTTCTAGCTAAGAGAATTGTGACTGGCCACCGTGACTGTTAGAAATTATTGCAATGACTCCCAGTCCACGCCCAAAAAATTCAGCGCTCTGGATGCTTCGGTTGCAGAATTACGTCAAATTTCACGTGTTCGTACGTGAGTGGCAGCGTGAGTGCTTTCTTCGTCCGCGGTTGGTAAAACACGGTCCTGGTCAGCGCTCAGGAAGTTTCAGCACTCCAGCTACTCTGGTTGCGGAGTTACGTCAAATTTCACGTGTGTGCACGTGTTCGTACGTGAGATGCAGAAGGCTGATAAGTAACTTGTTTTCACGGACACAACAGTGGGCACCAAGTAACGCTGCAAAATTGCATCTCTCTGCAGTTTATTGATCGCCTTAAATCAGTTGGCATGATGCCAGTTCAAACTTCGACGTGTGCGTACATGAGTCCTGAGGGTGGGTGAACGCTGAATTTGAAATTTTTGGATTAGAAGCGGCTAAGGAACAACTCTGTGAAGTTCCAGCCTCCTAGCATGGGCCGTTCCCGAAAACGCTTTTCCGCCGAAAAAACTTTCACGTCCCCATACGTGAGAACCACGCGGACCTGGGCGTCCATTTTGAGGATTCGAGCCCGCACGTATGTGTGGATTAAGTTACCAAATTTTTAGCCTTTTAGGCTTTTGTGGATCTCGAGATGAAAACTCGTTACAGACGCACACACAGACACACACACATACATACATACAGACACACATACACACACAAGCAATCCCTCGATAATATGCGTTTTTGCATTGCATAGCTGCAAAAAACGCATAAAAATT